AGTCACCTGAGCCTTGACCATTTTCATTTGTTCTTGGGACACAGTCAGCAACTGGAAGGATCGATCTTTGTGTTTTCTGCCTCTGCTCTAATTTTTGTTCTGAAATTTCACTGTCCCATGGATGCTGTCCCCAGAAATGACAATACGTAAATTCTGCAACCGTTTCCTCCTTCCTTCAAGTGATCTTGCTGCTGGAGTCAGGACCTGTAGGCTGAAGGGAAAATTCAACATGAGTGCTACATTCCCTCTAGGCCAGATGTTGTCCCTGGTCCTTAACACAAGGCCCTCAAAACTGCTGACAGTCCCTTTATTTGGTGACTCGGAACATTTTACAAAAAAATCACTGCTTTTCCCCCATTATCTACCCACACAGTCATCATTTTCTTTAAAGCCTCACCAGAAGCACATTTAGCATCCATGTTTCTGGCAACATTCTGTTGCTGGTGCCATATGTATTCTCTGAGACCAAAGAGTCTTTCTCTACAGCTGTCCTCCCTTCCTTCTAAGCCCTCACCAGAATTGCCTTTGACATCCATAATTTTACCATCTCTTTAAAGTAATCTAGGCTTTTTACTATTGTTGTTGTTGTTATGTGCCGTCGAGTCGGCCCCAAATCACAGCGACTCCTCCTTGGGTTTCCAAGGCAGTATCACTACAGAAGTAGATTGCCCAACTTTCCTTCCAAGGAGTGGCTGGTGGGTTTGGGCTGCCAGCCTTCTGGTTAGCAGTCAAGTGCTTTAGGCTCTACAACCAGAGCTCCCTTTTAGGCACCTTAAAATTCTTCCAGCCTCCAGCCCAAAACAAAACCACTTCTTCATTATAGGTATCTGTTAGAGCAGTGCCCCCAATTCTCAATACCAAATTCTATCTTAGTTCTCTAGTGCTGCTCTAACAGAAAAATCACAAGAGGATGGCTTCAACTAATAGGAATTTATTTTCTCACAGTTTAGGAGGCTAGAAATCCTAATTCAGGGTGCTGGTCCTAGGGGAAGGCTTTCTCGTTGTGTCAGCTATCAGGGAAAGTTCCTGTCTCTTGAGCTTCTGTCTCCAAGTTCCCTGGAGATCTCTATGTGGTTTGGCATCTATCTCTCCCCATCTCTGTTTACTGGCTCACTTGCTTAACTTCTTTATATTTCAAAAGAAATTAATTCAAGATATACCCTACATTAAAATAACAACCACAAAAGCTAATACTGTTAAAAAATATAATACAAAAAGTCCTTGCTCTCACACAGCTTACAACCTAATGAGTGAATTGAAAGTAAATACAAAATGCAGAACAGTATCCTTCCAGACAGTGAGATATGCTATTAAGGGAAGTGGTAAGAATCAAAGCACACAAAAGGGCCACTATTGTAGATAGGGTGGTTAAAGTGGGCTTGTCAGAGTGACATTTGTGCAGAACACTTAAAACTAGCTCCTTGATGCTACAAGGTTATTTCTATTTACTCCATTACATTCTTATTACAGGTGGTAGACAGTCCACATATTACATCAAACATAACCTTACCTACATTTGCTCACGGGAGCTCTGGTAGCGTAGTGCCTAAGGCACTTGACTGCTACCAGAAGGTTGGTGGTTCAAACCCATCAGCCACTCCTCGGAAGGAAGATGGAGCAATCTACTTCCATAGTGATACTGCCTTGGAAACCCAAGGAGGGGTCGCTATGAATCAGGTCCAACTCGATGGTACATAACAACAACATTTGAGCATGACTTGTAAATAATGTTGAATAACTGCTGTACAGTGAACTACTTGCTATGGCTTTTCTAATCAATCTTTGTAACTCCCACCAGATTACTGGGTACTGGGGGGAATAAAAAAAAAAAAAACACGTCATCGAGTCATTTCCAATTCATAGTTACCTCTCCATGGGTTTCCAATGTGATACCTCTTACAGAAGTAGATTGCCCAATCTTCCTTCCTAGGAGTGGCTGGTGGGTTTGAACCACTAGCATTCTGGTTAACAAATGCCTTAGGCTCTATGTCATCACAGCTCCTATGGATTACACAGTGGGACCATGTAAATAAAATGTATAGAACTCTCATGTTGGCATTGGTTAGTTTTGTCACTCTGCCAGGCTAAAAATAAGGCCTCCTAGAGGCAGAGGCCCATCCATTAGCTGCTCTGCGGAAGGAAGACTGGGTGATCTACTTCCATAAAGAATTATAGCCTCAGAAACCCAATGGGGGTCACTATGAGTTCCAAACGACTCGATGGCAGAGAGTTTGGTTTCTGTTTTGGTTTAGAGGCAGAGAGGGGGTCTCATCAAGAGAAAAGAATTGGAGGTAAAGTAGAGTGCATCACTGGATCCAAGATCCCTGCACTGGACCTCCTGGGCAGAGACTATCAGTAGAGAGACACACCTTGGCAGAGAGAGACACCCCAGTAAAAAGAGCGAACCCCAGCAGAGAGATAATCACAGGGGAACCAAGAGGAAGGAGACAGAGCAATGGAATTTCCGGCCCACAGAGCGAGAAAGCTGAGTACCTTTGGGCAGGAGGCTTGCTGAGACGGTGGGATGCACCTAGATGTATCTATTGGCTGAGCTAAAAGAGCTTTGTAACACTTGCCCAAGCAGGGCAGAGGCCAGCCTGAGAGGTCAAGGACCAGAGAGGCATGTCTGACAGAACAGCAAAGGGGAGACTGTTCTGATCAAAGAATTGTATCTTGAATGTGTTCCTGAAACTGAATTGTAGTCTTGTACTTCCCTAAAACCCCATAATCGTGAGTATTGTCTGTGACTTCTGTGTGGCCAATGCAATGGATTATTGAACCCAGCAGAGAAGTAGTGAATGCTGTGGGAAGGACGGTTGGTGTCAGAATTGGTAAAAATGTCTGGAGGATGATGGCATGTCTGGCATCATAGGAATTAGCCTTGGGTTGTTGATGGTGACTCTGTTTCCCCCTTGTGAGGTAGAGGAGGTCAGAAGATGTCACCTCCATGCCCTTTATGCAATAATAAATGTAATCACAGTTTCTCATTTCAAATGGTATTCTGATGATTTGCATTGCCTACCACCCATAGACTGGTGACTTGTGTCATCTCCATTTACAATCACTGTGTTCCAGGCACTATTCCAGGGGCACACAGATACATAAATGAACAACGCAGACAGAAATCTCCATTATTTACAAAAACAAAAACAAAAAAAAAAAAAGTATAAGCTATCACATCAAAGAAAAAGCAAAAAATAAGACAGTTCCTACACAAATCCTGCCTTGTTAATATAACAAACACAACCCATTCCAAATAGAACATAACCACAGGCTTTGTTGTTGTTGTTGTTACGTGCCGTCAAGACGGACCCACTCATAGTGACCCTTCCTTGGGTTTCCAAGGTGGTATCACTATTGAAGCAGATTGCCCCACCATCCTTCAGAGGAGTGGCTAGTGGGTTTGAACCATCAGCCTTCTGATTAGCACTCAAGTGCCTTAGGCACTATGCTACCAGAGCTCCTAATCATAGGCTTCAAGGTTAGGATTTACCTCACACACTTTTGAGGGACATAACTGTAGTACAGCATCATCATGGAGTCTGCTTAAATAAAAACAAAAGAGGTTCACTGAAGGCTAGAGACCGTCTGGACCAAGAAGACATCCAAATTCACAGAAGGAAAATGGCCACTCTGCCAGGCAATGAGGAAAGAAACGTTTTGGTAGAGTTGGAGCAGGAACTAAAAGTTACAAAATCATAATTGGCTAAAAAACAATCAGGGGAATCACAGATGGGGATCTAAAAGCAGGAATGTAGCAGGGATAGGTGGATGACGTAAGTGGGATGACGTGATTGGCCAAGGGGTCATAACTCTAAGCATACTTGCTCTTCAGTTTATTATGGGTCGAGCACAGGACAGTGGCACGACGGTTTTTGTCCGCTAATCTGTTTAGTAACTGCTTCCTCAATCATGGCCGCTTCTGGGGGTCCACTGTAAAGATTTATGGATAACGTTGTACATCGAGACCCTTCCGGTAGAACCTATCACCTCTTCCATCTGTTGGACTGTAGCGGACTCTCTGGGAACAGACTGTGATATCCTGCACCTGCCAGATCTCCGAGAACAGGAACGTTTCCTTTAGGGTATCTGGTCAGCATCAAGGTTGCAGGAACGGCTATTAGAAAAGGAAGCTTTGAAACTCAACTTGGATTCTAGACTCACGTCAAGACTTTAAAATGTATTAAGGCTCTGCTTTCAGACTCTATTTACAAATAACAATGCCTCTGAGTTGAAGTTCTCCTACCCGATCCAACATAGAAAAGTCACTAAAGCAGAAAGAGTGCGCGTTTGTGAAGCTTTGTGGACCGTAAGGGCTTCCACACAAACACCCCCCTCCCCACTTCTGCAGCGCGAAGGCAGCCCGAGACCGATGGATTAGTCCCTCAAACAGAAATTAGCGAACGAGTGAATGAGAGGACAGAATACGATGATCTAAACCAAGGCTGTGGAACACACCGCCTCTGTCCCAGCCCCCGAGGCGCCTGGGGTCTCAGCTTGCAAAGCTCCGTCCTCGCAGTCCTCTGTAGCCCAGACCCAGACGCCCCTCACGTCTTTATTAAAGCGAAACCGGGACCAGACAGACACCGCCGACCAAGTCCTGCCCCGGGATCAAACTTCACTGAGCCCAGTAGTCAATCCTCAGCCTGCACCGGACACCATATTGCAGGTAAATACCACCTCCACCCGGTACCGGATCCACAAAGACCCGGTACCCTGACAGGGCAGCCCTAACCGTTGGACCAAAGCGCTCACCTCACGTATGACCCCAAAGGCACCGACTCCCACCTGTTTCCCCTCAAGCACCTCCAGCCCGATGCTCCTCTCAGGAACTCCAGGTGCCCCACTAACCCACGAATACCCATCCCTCACCCTGCCCCAAGGACAAAACACACACTGACCTGCTGTTTATCCCCCGGAATCACCCAAAGTTCGGAAAAATCACACCTACTTCCGCTAACTACTTCAGCGTCTCTACCCCTCCCAGAAGTATTGTTCGCTTACGGAGGCCGCCGAGGGTCTGTAAGTTTTCCAGGAGCGCGGTCTGAGGCCTTTCCGCCTGGCTGATGAGGTAATATGTCTGCGCCCTGTGGTGCCAAGTCTTCCTGGAAGCGGCCATATTTGAATAAGAGCCGTACAGCACAAAACCTAAATACGAACTCCATTGACTGGATTCCAATTCATAGCGACCTTATAGGACAGAATAGAATGGGCCCACCAGGCCCTGCTCGGAAGGCATGTTGGGCAATCTACTTCCGTAGTAAAAACGCCTGGGAAACCCAAGGAGGGTCGCTGTGAGTCGGGTCCATGGCACATAACATACGGTTTCCAAAGCTATAGATCTTTATGGAAGCAGACTTTCTCCCATGAAGCCGTTGAACTTTTTGTTAGCTGCCCAAAGTTTTAACCACTGCCCCACCAGAGCGACCTGTGCGAAACAAAAGGGACGGGGGGGGGGGGGGGGGGAAACGGGACACAACTTTTTTGGTTGCCAAGGATGGCCAGGAAGATGAGAATGCCAACAACGCTGTTTGACTGCGTGATACCCTGTCTCCCTTGCAAAAAAAAAAAATCTAGGGGTGACAAGGATCAAATTGCTTTCATCAGGCCTGGCCATAAATGTGGCCGATTCCTTTAGCTCAATTAAAAAAAAAAAAAAATTGAAAATAGATGTGTGGGGATTAGAGAGACCCCCTTTTGGTTTTCACAGACGCTAAAACTTTATGGAAGCAGTCTTTCTTCCACTGAGTGGCTGGTAAGTTTGAACGACCAACCTTCTGGTTAGTAATCAAATGCCTTAGGTCGTATGCCCAAAGCTTCTTTTTGTTTTTTGAGTTTTTTGCACAGTAGAGACAAGCTCCTGGGAAGAATGAAGGAGACTATGGCCCTAGTCATCCTTCAGGACTGTTAATTAGGTGACTTCCAGCCAGACAATAGACAGGCGTTTGCAGTGAACATTTACATCAGCTAGGCACACTCCTTGGAGCGCTCAATAGTGGGAGAATGACAAATACTATTTGATTAGTTCATGAGCTCATTTTATTCACTTCCAAATTGATATACCGTTGTTTGTCGCTATGTGCTGTCAAGTCGGACTTGACTCATAAAGACCCCTCCTTTGGTTTCCGAAGTGGTATCACTACAGAAGTAGATTGCCCAGCCTTCCTTCCGAGGAGTGGCTGGTGGGTTTGAACAGCCAGCCTTCTGGTTAGCAGCCAAGTGCCTTAGGCACTACACTACCACAGCTCCTAAATCAATATATAATTAGGTGTATTTCTGTGTCCCAGGAACATAAAATCACGTGAACTAGTGTTCTCTGATATAATTTTCTGGGATGATGGAAATGATGGAGATTTGTCTCTGTATACACATTCCCTGGGCGGGGGAGCAGAAAGTCTTGCTTATAGTTTGTGCTTTACAATTGTGTAGTTACTGTCACACATGGTTACTGAACACATAAAATGTGGCTCATACAACTAAGGAACTGATTTAAAACTTTATTTTTAATATTTAAATAGTCAAAAGTTGTAACTGTCAACTGATTTATTACCTACTTGGGTATACATACTCAGGAAAATTGTCAAGGAATTTAATATAAATTGGAGAGAGTCACAAAAACTTTCAAGGAATCGGGAATCTATCTGGGGAGATAAGGTATGGGCATTAAAAAAAAAAAAAAAACTGTTTCCTAGGCTGCTTCAGTACCATTACAAGGTCTCCTTACTCCAAATGTCCATAGGTAATACAAATGGTTAAAGCTAATCCAAAAGATTGGATGATAGAGTCTGCCCACAGGCATCTCAGAAGACAGGTGTGGCAATTCACTCATTAGAAATCAGCCACTGATAACCCTAAGGAGCACAGTTCTGCTCTAACAAACACAGGGTCACCATGAGTTAGAAATAACTCAAGGCAATTAAATTGTGACAACTGTCATAAGAATTTTTTTTTAACATTCTATCTTAAAATGTCTAAGGAAACCCCTTGTACCAATTATTCCATTTTCTGTATTACATCGTTTGACTCAAAACCCCCCCCAAAAAACATACTCACTGCCATTGGGTCAATTCTGACTCAAAGTGAACCCCTTTGCATTTCCAAGGTGGTAAATCTTTATGGAAGTAGATTGCCCTGTCTTCCTTCAGTGGAGTGGTGGTAGGCTTGAACCTCCAACCTTCTGGTTAGCTGTCAAATGCCTTAGGTACTACACAACTAGAACTCTTTACATCCTTTGACTAGGTAAACTGAAATGTCAATTCCACTCAAATTTTATGATTCAGCACAGTGTGCTCTCCAAACTTTTTGTTTTATTCACCACTGTATGCTCCGCTCCAGGAAACAGAGCCAGATACAAAGGAAGCATGTGAGAAATATTCACTACATTCATGAAAAGACTCAACGTAGGACTATTGTTTCATAGGTCCTTCCGCATAATATAAAGCTTTTTTATGTAGGGTAGACAATTTGGTTTTTGGTTAATCTTTCACACTGATGTAAGGGGCTCTGGTGGCTTAAGGCATTTGACTGCTAACCACAAGGCTGACAATTCAAACCCACTAGCCACTCCGCTGAAGGAAGACTAGGCAATCTACTTCCGTAAAGATTCACTGCCTCAGAAACCCAAAGGGGGTCACTATGAGTCAGAATCAACTTGATGGCAGTGAGCATGGAGCTTGAGCTTGCACTGATGTAGGGAAACTGCACTGATAAGTATGTGCCCCACATCCCATCCCACCAATTCAGGATTGCCTCTTTCCCACCCACCACTTCCCATGTGGTTTTTCATTTATAGCATTTATAGATACCGATAATCTTTTCTGTTGTCAAAATGCACAGTGTTTATTTCCTCCACAGAGATGAACTAAGATGTTCTTTCATTTAACTGGCACAATAGAACAATTGGTATCTATGTATGTGTGCTAACCTCACAGTAAGTCTCAGTAACTAGGCACATATTTATTACATTGGATGAATGTATCAGTCTTTCCCAGTCTCTGCATACTACGCTTTCCCTCAGGATATAATGAGGTAGAAATTAGCTCAACCTTCATTCCTAGTGAATATATGAATTTATTTTATGAGTTTTGTGGGGCATAAAATAAAATGTAATTGGACACTGGTGGAACTAACACAGTCACTGCATTTATAGGCAAGACCATATTCACTGTATTCATAAGGTTTCTCTCCTGTACAAATTCTCTGTTATATCCTGAGGGTTCATGTCTACTAACAGGCTGTCCCATAAAGACTATGTTCCTATTAGTTAGAAGTCCACTGATGTTGACTGATGTCTGCGCTTCCCCAGAAGGTATGTGCATGGTCACTGCATTAACAGGGCTTTTCTCCTGCATGAGGTCACCGGTACGAGATGACCTGTGACATGCTGTGGAAGAGATTTCCACCTTGACTGACTCTACATGTTTCTCTCTTACATGTCTTCTTTGATGTGAATTAAAATTAGAAGAGGAGGTAAAAGTTTTTCCACACTCATTGCAGCTGTACGGTGTCTCTCCTTTATGAGATCTTTGATGTACAATGAGCTCTCGCTTTGTTTCAAAGGCTTTCTCACATTCACTGCACTGAAAGGGTTTCTCCCCTGTGTGAATTTTCCGATGTGTATTGAGACTTGACTTCTGAGAATAAGATTTCCCACATTCACTGCATGAAAAGGGGCTCCTTCCTGTGTGAAATCTCTGATGTGCTATGAGGCATGACTTCTGGTTGAAGCCTTTCCCACATTCACTGCACACATAGGGTTTTTCTCCAGTATGAGTTCGCTGATGAACAATGAGACTTCTCTTATCTTTGAAACTTTTTCCACATTCTTTACATACAAAGGGTTTCTCTCCAGTATGAGTGCGCTGATGAACAATGAGACTTCGCTTATCTTTGAAGCGTTTTCCACATTCCTTGCATAGATAGGGTTTCTCTCCAGTGTGAGTTCGCTGATGAATGGTGAGATTTCCTTTATGGTTGAAGCCCTTCCCACATTCACCACATATATAGGGTTTCTCTCCAGTGTGAGTTCGCTGATGAATAATGAGGCTTCCCTTATGGTTGAAGCCTTTCCCACATTCACTGCATATGTAGCGTCTCTCTCCTGTATGAGTCCGCTGATGAATCGTGAGATCTGTCTTCCTCATGAAGCCTTTCCCACATTCACAGCATATATGGGGTTTCTCTGCCATATGAGTTTTCTGATGTTCAGTGAGCTGTGGTTTATGGAGATAGGCCTTGCCACATTCCACACATTTATATGGTTTTTGTCCTTTATGACTTGTGTGATGATGTTCAATGAGCTTGAACTTTTTAAAGAAGGATTCCCCACACAGACTGCATCTATAGGGTTTCTCTCCTGTATGAATGAACTGATGATCAGTGAGGAAAGACTTCCTGATGAAGGCTTTTCCACATTCACTACATACATGTGGTTTCTGTATTTTGTGAGTTTTCTGATGGTTAACGAGTTGGGACTTAATGCTGTTGGATTTCTGACTCTCGGAGAATTCCGTTTCAGTATAGAATTGCTCCTGGTCAGCATGGAGAAAGGTTTTCTCATCTCCACTAAGCTCAGAAGCGTTCCTTATTCCATCACTTTTGCTCTGGTTGAGAGCAAAAGGTAAAGTTAAATCTGATTTCAGAGCTTTTTCATGTAAGTCAAACATATGATTTTCCCTTAAAAGAAGATTTTTGTGCTGATTAACAATATTTTCCAATGAATTATGTTGGCAGCATTGCTTCATTCTGTCCGCACTATTTTCATTTTGCAAGTGCCGAAGCAGATGATAATCAACTTTCTGGATTTCTAGGAAAAGAAGAGAACAATGAATCCTTCCATTTTCTTAATTTGGAATGAAAGCATTTGAAACAATTAATTCATATAATGCGGACCTTTAGTGACAACCCTTTGATATGAGCATAAATTAAACACTATCCTTCATGTTTCTGGCACACTGATAAAAACACAGTAATATAAGCAACCTCAATAGTCAAAGCAGATAGCATAGGAACCATCTTAGATAACTGTGGTGTAGTGAATAACTTAATATGGCCCTTCCAGCCATAGTCCTCCATTCTGTGACATATTACAAATCCTAGTCTCCATGCCTGTGGCTATGGTCCCATTTTAGAGTGAGGTGTCTGCTATGCTAACGAGGCAGGCTTATGGTGGGATGTATCTTGAGTCAGCTTTACCAGAGAGTGTGACTCAAGTCAATACTCTTATCCCAGTCACCATCCTTCACACCTTCACACCACCTTACTCAAGTGAAGGGAGTTTCTTTGGGGTTGTGGTCGGCATATGCCATGAATGAACGCTCCTGCAAAGTTTTCTCTCTTGCTCTGAATTCTGCATCTGGCTCATCATCATCTGACTTCCGGTTCCTGGAACCAGAACCAGCAGCCTGTTGTCTCACCTGCCAATTTGGGTTCATCAGGCACGACAACCATGTGAATCAGGAAAAGCCTCCAGACTGACTGCTGACCCATGGGTTTGGGACTTGCCAGCCTCCACAACCTTGTGAGACTTTTCCTTGACCGTTCGTGAGTCCTGTGAGATACTGAATTACAGAACCCAAAGATGGGAAGGAGAATACTGAGTACTAAGGGAAGGAGGAGGAGTTGATGTTAAAGATGATGGAGTGGTACAGCAGTGCAGAGAAGTTGGACATCTGAGACATTTTTAACCTTCACTTCATAAGGACCAGATATGTGCGGATCCTTCTAAAAGGAATTATTCTTGCAATTGGTGTCAGAATAGTGGGATTCACTTCATCAGCCCAGACTCATTGGAATATGTAGTTTTGGAAAGAAAAGGATAAAAGTAAGAATCCAAAACCATTGGTTTCTGGATGTGATTTAAAAAAAAAAAAAAAAAATCCATGGACTCAAGCAGCTATTGTTTTGATCAGTTACCCAAGGCAAAAGCTATTCATGGGACTGAGGAGTGGTCGATCTGGTGACACGGTGCCTAAGGCATTTGACTCTTAACCAGAAGGATGCTGGTTCAAACCCTCCAGCCATTCCACAGAAGGAATATGGGGCAATCTACTTCTGTAAAGATTTACTGCCCCTGAAATCCAATGGGGGTTGCTATGAGTTGGAATCAACTCAATGACAGTGAGTTTGGTTTTTGGTGGTTGGATCTAACTTCTGAGGCTAGGTGGATGCGTATGGAAAAACAAAGTGATTAGGAAACAACAAGACCTATAATTCTTTGGTTACTTTATCAGTAATAGCTGCACTGGGAGGGAAAAAGAATGTAGAGGTGGACTGTAGCACTGAACCAAGCCCACATCCAGTCGGCTCAGAACTATGATTGCTAGTGTCAAGGTCAACTGAGAAAAGAAATATTGTATTGGAACAACAGAACTATCCTTACGCCCCTACTGGTCACCAAAAAGTTGGACAAGAATGGAAATGAACAAAATCAAGAAACTAGAAAACGAAGGGTGAAAATGTAAAGGAGTTTATTCCATTTCTACATCAGTATCAGCATCCTGAGGAACTGTTACTCAAGTGGACTGTAAGAGCAACTAGTAAGGGGCAGTGTCTTTAGTTTTGAATGCTGCCAAAAATGGAAGAGTATGTATGGATTGATGCAAGACTCACTACTCACTATAGGACCAGTCACAAATGATGGTACAAGACCCAGTTACTCAGCAGGTTAACGTGGACAGAGGATGGATAAAATCTGCAGTGAGATTCCTTTATCCTGAGAAGGGAAACTATCCCTCTAAATACTCAAAACAGTGCAGAGGAATCAGCTGATGTGCTGCTCATGGAAGCCATGATGGAAAGGCCTTCTGGTGATCAGGACAGTCATCGAATGAGTAAGCCCATAACACAATCATGACATACACGGGTACCCCATATACCCTTGCTACTATGAAATAAAACAATTGGAGAAACCTTGTTGGATCTGTTGGTATAGCTTTCCTGCATGGGACTTACAGATGCAAGAAGTATATGGGTGAGTCATAGGAGAATAAGAAAAGGCAAATGTGAAAGAACTTACCTAAGAAGGATGGGAAGTCTTCAATGGTCATTAAGAAATGGGAGGAATATAGTGGACGATGGAGTTGAGACAAAGGTGTTAATGTAGCACTACAAGAGGCTGGGCAGACCAAAAGAAACTCCTAATGGTCTCCCATTATTGAAAAGCCCTATACAAGTCCATTCTATTCACCTTTAATGATGGGGGGGGGCCCACCAGGGACCATGTGAAGCAGAGGCTCAGGTAGCAGATCAGGTAAGGACTGGTGAGGGGCAAGCATCTTCTGGTCCAGTCTCCACCAGGGTACTTGGGGCTATTTGCACATGTGTGGATGAAATGGCCCAGCAGTGGGAAGAGACCTGTATGGATACAGGAGCCCAATGGACTAGAATCTCAAAACCTGTCAATCAAATCTTGAAGGGGCCTGAAGTTAGACTAGGAGATATGGGGATGCAACGATTGAAGGGATTAAGGTTAAAGTATGGATAAGAACTGGAGGATTTAAAGAGATGTATGGTTCATACAAGACCCAGCTACTAAATGCAGGGAGGCACTCACAGTTTATACAAGCAGGTACTCTTTTCCCACCGGTACGACGCTGGAACCCCCTGAGAAGCTGCCAGTCCACTACCACATGGACATGCCCTATGAACACCTTTCTGCTGAACAACACAAGGTGGCTTGGTTCACAGATGGCAGTTTCAGGGCATACAGACAACATTCCATGTGGAAATCTGCTGTGTTAAGACCAGCAGATGGAAAGACCCTTGCTGAAGAAGGTAAGAACCAGTAAGCTCAATGGGCTGAACTGCATGCTGTCTCTTCAGCTGAGTTGGAAGAATTGGGTAGTGCTAAAGCAAATGGAAGAAATGAAAAGGTAAAAGGGCTGAACAGAAGATTTCAAAGAGCAGCTCGAGTAGACAAAGCCAATTACTATAATGAA